TCGTCACGAGCCGCTTCGCGTGCCACTGCAAAAGCGTGAATGATCTTCATATCTGTCTCAGCTGAGGCTGGTTTGGTCCAGAGGTCCCGAAATGGTTTGGCCCGCAGGTCCACAACATCCCGAGGTTGAAACACCACCGTAGCCCCTTGGATGATTTCTTCCGAAGGTACAGGGTCCTGCCCCATAGCTTTATGCAAAACGCCTGCCGCCGTGGGAACACCCATCCATTCTTTAAACTCGGCTAAAGAAGCCCGTAGAGCACGAGCACGGCATCTCGCAGCGATCTTCTTTGCGGCGCCTACCAACAGCTGCCTGCAGCTTATCCTGGGTGACCTGACTGGCACTGGACATCAACAGTTGTTTCCAAACCTCCCAGGACGGGTCCGAACCAACCCGAAGTCCCCGATGGCCATCGTCAGGAGCCTGGTCCCCTAGGTGTTTACATGCTTGCTCAAGCTGCTGCTGCTGAATGATACCGTTGGCGCGAGCCCGATGATTGTGCAATATTTGAAGAACCGTGTGTGTCTTTTCCCACCAGGATGTAAGCCGATCCCGGTACGGAACCGTCCGACTCTCGGCTGGTAAACGCACTTCCTGTACCACAAAGCGATACCCACGAGCTCGCCCCAAAGATGGGGGCCCCTCCACTCCATGACGCACATAGATCGTCCGTTCGAGCGCGGCGACCCAAGACGCATACAACGCCGAGACATCCTGGATTGAACCATGCTCAAGCCTAGCGGCTACGGAAGAAGCAAAAGCAGCAGGAGGGATGCAATCACTGGAGGGGAACAGCCCGACTTCGGATCGCTCTTGGATCCAGGTCTCAGCTAGGATATAGAATGACACTGGGCTCACTTCCTGACTTGGGGGGGCGGCTCTTGAAACTCGCTGGGGAATGGGGGAATGAATTCACAGACTGGCTCTCCAACGGACGATTCATGTGCATCAGGAGTGACAAGGCCCCAAGTGATGGACGGTGCATACTGAGGTAACGTGAAAACATGCGGCGCCTCTGGGTTCCATACCCAAGGGCGCTCGTCGATCTGCTGACTAACCTGCTGCTGAGGGAAAGAGGCACATTCGGCTTGTGCGCCGAGCGCGGGCTCCACCCCAGGCCCAACAGTCCCAGACCCACTACCTGAGGGCCCCGAGAGACCGTCAAGAGCGGATGAGGGAACCTTTGCACCCAGATCGACATCAGGACAGAATTTGAGCTCCGACGCCCAAGGGTCTTCTTCAAACTGCTCGAAGTCCTCGGGTCCCAAGTCGGGCTCGCGGTCGGGCTCAGCATCTGCAGAAATGCTAGCAGCAGCCGAGGTATCGGCGTGCTCTGGCCATAAATCACCAAAGAGCCCGTCATAGCGCTCCTGACGCTTGACCTTGGCTGCTTGCATTCGGACCGACCGCTGCCGCTTCTGAACTTGGGTCTTGGATCCGGGGATGGGCGCCTGGCTGGGCCTCGCGACCTGGGGTAGTCGTGCAGGTAGCGACAAGCACCTCGTGATAAGTTGCTTGCCTGATGAACGCATGGTGATACGGAGGCCGCAGTGTGTCTTCCACGGCACTGCCATCACAGCTTCGACGCGGGCTAGGTAAGCCACAGCCGAGTGAGACCTGACAATATAATCAATGTGACTGCCTTCTCTGCCCGCGTCGCACGTGTATTCCACAGGCGCCTTGCCTACCACGCCGCCTACGCGAGTGAGAAAGTCAGACGATTGCAAGATATCCGAAGGCACATTGTAGTCGCCGACGGCAACCCACGGGAGCTGCAGTGACGATAAGAAGGCGCCTAAGCGGTTAAATATCTGCACGTTATCGCCTGCGAGGCCCACTGCCGTGAGCCCATAAAATGTGACAAGTACGTAAGAATATCCAGACATGTGTACGAGGGCAACACTAAATCCGTCTGTTGCGGCCTGTCCGCCGGACTGAAGACCAGCAAGAGCTAACTGAGGCATCATTGAGTGGGCCTGAAGATGTCCCGACGCCAGGACCCACTCCCCTCCCTCAGTAGCTCGCTCGGCGCCCTGAGCTGTGCAAGCGCGGCCTGTGAGCCTAGCAGGATTAGCGAAGACTTTGAGTTTCGCTTTGCGAGCTTTGGGCAGCCAATCTCTAGACAAGGAAGTACTGGAGACATGAGTCTCGGCAAGACAATAGAAATCAAAAGCGCGGCGCTCACATGCATCCTGAATGAACTGCCACACCTTCTCCCCCATGTCGGTGATGTTGCCATACAAGATGTGAGTGAAATCATTCTCCCCTGGCCGTGAACGCGAGCAATACGGCTTCGACGAAGAAGCCTCCTTCAATGATGTACTGCGTGAGGTACAAGAATCTGCCGATTCTACAGATAGTCCAGATGAGACTGTGCCCCCTTGCATCTGCTTCTGCTGCTCACGCTCCTTCTGCTGCACCGCGGCGAACTTGGCCTGCGAGATCCGCTCGGCCTCGGCCTGGATGCGGGCTGCGCGCTCCTCGGCGGCTGCATCAGGATGCGCCGAGGGCGCTGCGCCCTGTGGAGGAGCCTCCGTGGCGCCGCCCGCAGCGCTGCTGTCACCAGCCGCGGCGGCGGCCGCGGGGGAGTCCACGTCTGGCTTCCTCTTCTTCTTGATCCGCTCCTGGATGTCAGCCTGCATCTTTTTGGCTTTCTCCACCCATGAAGCGACCTGATCCGCTTTTCCTTCCAACGTCTTCTGCGTGTCGGCAAGTTCCTGGCCGATCTTTAGTAATTATTCTTTCTCATTCTGCTCGCAATCGAGGTCCTCGATGTCCCGAAATAGCTGCTCATCCCAATGCAGACCGAAGGGTTTCTTCTGGCCCTCCTGCTGCGGCTGTGCTGCATCAGAGCGCCCACTGGCGATTCCCTCCTGGGACGCCAGCACCGCTGCGGCCTGCTTGCGAACTGCCTCGGCCTCCGCCACCTCGATCGCGAGTTTCTGCTCCTTGGCCTGCGCCGCCGCCAGGTTCTTCTGAAGCCGAGCGACCGCTTGGACCGATTGATCATGTCGATTGTTGACATCACGAAGGGCACCATCGGCACGCTGAAGGGCTTGCAACACCGACCCTGCAGAGCTGTGGCTGCTGGCCTCCTGCGCCTCCTTGATCTGTTGCTCAAGACGCTGCCGCATGTGAGGGTCTTTTGCTGCCTTCAGTGCTGAGCGAAGATGGCTGACGACGTCGTCCTCCATGCCTTTACCTCTCGGTGAACTCCTGGGCGTGGATGTAGCACTGCCGCCACCTGCACTGGCGCCGTCGTCGAAAGACACCCTCTTGAGGATGCTCTTCTTCGGGGATGGTACATATAACTTGACTTTACGTCCACATCGGAGGAGGGGGAAAAAGAGGGAGAAGGAGGAGGGAGGAGGAGGACGAGCAGGAGGAGGAGGAGGAGGAGGAGGAGGAGGAGGAGGAGAAGGCGGCAGAGGAGGAGGAGGAGGGGGAGGGGGAGGAGGTTGAGGAGGAGGAGGCGGAGGACGACGACGACGAGGAGGTTGAGAGGAGGGAGGAGGATGTGAGGAGAGAGGGGAGGAGGAGGGGGAGGGGAGGAGGAGAGGGGAGGAGGAGGGAGGAGGAGGAGGGGAGGAGGAGGACGAGGAGGGGGGAGGAGGTTTTGAGAAGAAGGAGGAGGAGGAGGAGGAGGAGGGGGAGGAGGGGGAGGAGGCAAGCTAGGTGCGCTCGCGTCATATCTGACATCCTACCCCTCCCTCCGAAAAAGGAAGAGGAGGAAGTGGAGGAGGAGGAGGAGGAGGAGGAGGAGGAGGAGGAGGGGGACGAGGAGGAGGAGAAGGCCTTCTCAGAAGGCCGCGGAACTTCCGAGCGGCGGCGAGCGAGGGGGGGAAGTGTCGGGTTCGAGGTTCGAGGTTTTCGGACACTTTCGTCGGTTCTCGGCGGATTCTTATCCTCGGGATGCCCGCCAGAAGCTGCCCCTCGCCGAAGGCATCCCGGGGGTGCCTGGATCGTCTCGAACGGCCGCCGGAGACCCGAGTTATGACCCAAAAACCAAATTCGGCGGCGCTCCTGGGGGGGAAGTGAGAAGGAAAAGTGAGAAGGCCATCTCCTTCTCACTTCACCCCCTCGCTCGCCACCGATCTGAGCGACGATGAAAACTCGAGTAGGACGGCGACTACAGAACTGACTACTTACCAGACCACCCAACCCAACCCGAAGACCCGAATTTGTGATTGGGGGGGCGCACGGGCTTCATGTGTGTGCAATGTTCCCCGACCCCCCCCCCCCCAATGGAAATGGAGAGCAAATCGGGGCCTTCGGGTTGGGTTGGGGTGGTTCGGGGGGCGGTGAAGACCTCATGTACCGCAAAATGAAAATGTTCGTCGAACCTACGGAAAATAAGCAGAATGTTCGCACATCTACGAACACGCTGCGCTGTTGTCGCAGACTCGACGAATCTTTTCATTTTGGGGCACATCGATTATGTAGCCGATCTCCGAATCGAAAAGCGGGTCTTACACGAGACGACAGAGCGGCACTTACGCCGCAGCTTACGCGGACCGCCAGCGCGGCACGCTACGCTGGAAGCGAGGGCGCCTACGCGCAACCTCACGCAAGCAGCTTGCGCGCCAATGTCGGCGCAAACAACCCCTATTTTTTGCGTCGCTCACCTCCCCGCGGTGGACTGCGACCCCCGGGCGCATGCCAGGCACCGGCCACAGCCAGCGGAACAGGCTCTCGCCTTGATGTTGCATCCTCGGTGGACCTCGTCTGTCCCGTCGCGGAACCCGCGCCGAATCCGCGCCGACTCTGCGTCGAGCCCGTATCGAGCCCGCGTCGGGCACAAGAAAAGATACAATTTGGGGGGGGGACGGGCGAGGTCCCCGGACATCCAGCTGCTCAAATGTTTGCGATCTGTGGGCCCCGCGGCGAGGGCTCCAGGAGGCCCAGAGCTGCCAAAATCCCGCGCTCCAACTTCTTTGGAGCGTCGGATCTCTGGGGACAGGCGAGGCCCCCCGAAGATGCAGCGCGATCGCCCGTGGCGGCCGAGGTGAGCCGCAGCACCGCCTGCGGGGCCCCGCCCGCCGCCGCGGCCCCCCCGCGGAGCCGCAGGCGGCAGGACAGCGGCGCGCGCAACGCGGCGCCGCCGACGTAGTCGCGCACGCTCGGCACGACCTCTCGGGGATCTATAGAGGCACGACCTCTCGGGGATCTATAGAGGCCTCCCAGATGGGGTCCGAGTAGATGGGGCCGGAGGATCGCGCCGCATCGCCAGTACATCGGCGACGCATCGTCGATGGATGCATCGGCGATGCATCGGCGATGCAACGGCGACGCATTGCTGACGTCGGCGATGCATCGGCGACGTCGACGTGAAGCAAATCGGACTCCACATCGAGCCGCATCGCCGATGCATCGGCGATGCGGTGCGATCCTCCGACCCCATCCAGTCCGACCCCATCTGGGAGGCCTGGAATTAGATCGGGCGTGTCCCCGTACAGGCGGATTTATGAAAATAGGTGAAAAAAACTCAAATATTGTGAAAACGATCAAAACCAAACTATTTTATGACTGTTATGAATATTCCTCCTGTAGAGGGACAGGCCCGACCTAAGCCTAGAATCTACTGACCAAGGTCGATCCAGACCCGGGTCAGTCAGGCCTGGCAGGATCCTGCCCAAAGATCGTCGGCGGGATTTTGGCAGTTTGGGGCCTGCTGGGACCCTCGCCGGGCCTCGGGAGCGTCAAAAAACAACGCGGGAGGAAAAACAGGCCCTGGGGAAGCGGTCTGGACCGCTTGGTTTCCCCCGGGGCCGTAGGCGACCCGAGGAGGAGGAGGAGGAGGAGGAGGAGGAGGAGGAGGAGGAGGAGGAGGAGGAGGAGGAGGAGGAGTAGCAGCAAGTCAGCAGGAGGAGAAGTAGGAGTAGGAGGTCGGAGGGGGATGGAGGAGGTGAGATGAGGAGGGAAGGAGTAGGAGAGGAGGAGGAGTAGGGAAGGAGGGTGGAGGAGGAGGAGGACGAAGAGGAGGAGGAGGAGGTCCCGAAGAGGCTCCCAGAGGCCTCCACGAGACTCCCAAGAGGCACCCGAGCGGTTCCCAAGAGCCCCCCAGCCCCCAACAGGCGCCGAACCGGGCCCCGGAGGAGGAGGAGGAGGAGGAGGAGGAGGAGGAGGAAGAGGAGGAGGAGGAGACGGAGGAGGAGGAGGAGGAGGAGGAGGAGGAGGAGGACGGATCGCCTAAGCCCTTCGGAGAAACCTTCTTGTCTGGACCTCGGGGGCCCACGCATCGAGAGAATTGGAGCAGCCGGAGATCTGGGTGCACGCACGCCCAAGTCCATGCACCCCTGGCTCTGTAGCAGGACCCTGCAAGATGCGGCGCTCTGACCGACCCCCGCTTGCGTCGCCCCCCGTCTCTTGATCGATGGTCTTCAGAACGTGCCTTAGCGCCAGCGTGTGTTTGCCCACTGAGGCCCTGCACTGCGACGAGAGCGATGTGATGATCGACTGGTTGGGTTGAACGGGGCACACACACACACATTGGGCGAACACACGTCCTGTGGATCATCGACCTGAGCCCCGAACCTCGATAGGCTGCAGGATCCCGGCCGTGCCGACCACCTCTGGGCGCAGAGGCTGCCGCGCGGGCGCCCGCGTGGACGCGGCAGGGCCCGAGGCCGGCGCGGTGAGCCCCACGCGGGTCAGGGCGCAGGGGCCCCTCCGCGCCGGCAGCCCCAGGGTCGCGTAGAGCACGCTGGCCTCCGCCAGGGTTCCCGCGCCCAGCGCGGCCGGGAGGCGCAGGAGGCCGTGGGCGGCGTGGGACAGGGCCTCGCCCGCCAAGGCCGCGATCAGCCTTCGAGCAGGGGCTCGACTGCAGAATCGATGTCTCCCCCCCCAAAAAAATGGTTCCCCGCCGCGTCCACGAAGCATACACCTGCAATGCTCCGTAGATCGACTGACTATGCTTGTGTGTCCATGTGAGCGGTTTCTTGTTCGGCGTTTCGACATTGGGCGGAAGGGGGTGGGGGGGGAGGGGTCTGGCTCAGGGCCTCTGCTTAGTGCGACTGTTTGCAGCAGTGCGTCCTATGGGGGAGGCTCCACCTGCTCAAAACAGGCGCCAAAAGCAGCCAAGACCTACTCCACTTGGGGGGGGAAGGCGGGGGCGGCGCGAGGGCCCGCGCCGATCGGCAAAACAAGAAATAAGAAAACGACCACCATGGGCACGACGGGACGATTCCTTTTGGGGCAAGTCCATTCTGCAGCTGATCGTCCATTCTGCAGCCGATCCCCTGCCCGAGGCCTCGGCGTGCCAGGCTGGGGCCCGCGGGCGGCGAGGCACCGCTCCGGCAGGCAGAAGCGGACGGCCCGGCGGCTGCCTCGGAGCAGGGCCCTCGACGCGCGGCGCGAGCGCCTGTTGGGACGCACAAAGACACACTAGCACTACATGTCCT